TACTTTACACATTTTGTGATTATCGACGCATAGATTAAGCAGTTATGGTAGTAGAGAATTGAGCGGTTATGAGACAATTATTGTCTAAGATTTGGTCGGAGTAATACATTGAACTTTTAGGTCGAGGAATAGCTCGGACTAAATATATCCGTATTGTTTTTTTTTTTTTTTGACATGAGCTAAACTCGTGTTGGACATTTAAAATTTTGAATCTTCATACCCTACCATCTCAAGGAATAAAAAGTTTATTTTTTTTAAAGTTTAATAATTGTNATGATATCCATAGTGTTATACTTTGGACTTCAAGTATCACCCTTACTCCAACATTTTTTATATGTCGTCATACATCATCCAACAAATTCAATTCATGTCTCACATATTTTAAATTGTAAAAAATAATTAAAAAGAGATATATATTTTAGAGTAATAATTGAAGAGATATGTTTAAGGTTAAAATAATTTATAATTATTTGAAAACTAATCGTCAACGACGTAATAAGTTCAAAAATGCTTCTTGAAGATTTTGACTTTATAATATATTATAAATAGTTTTGAAATAGATTAAGTTATCAACAAAGTTATTTTATATCTAAGTGGCGGAAGTATATATAAAATTGGTTCAAACATTTTATAAATATTATGGAATTTTTGATCAAGTATATTCACATTCAATTCAACCAATATATGCGAACATGAACCAATGATGTTCTTATTATATATATATAATAAAAATTGAATCTCTAGTTTTTTATTTGATATAATATATATATATATATATATATATATATACCTAAATATTAGCTAAAAATTTAAAAAATCTTCATTGACGCTTTAAATTACTCACAAGTTAAACGAAAGAAAATAGTTTTGAACGACTTACTTAAATAAATAAAAATAATAAAAGTTGAATTACACTGCTTTAAGTTTATTTTTAATTTGTCAAAGCGAGTATAACTCAGCGATAATTGACATATATTTCCAACTTGTGAGTTTGAACCCCAACCCCACATATTATACTAAAAAAACGTTTAGTTTTAACTTTGTTTCTACACTTTTAAAAGTTTTAATAATTTTCTCATATCATTTGATTAAATTTAAATTTTAGTAGACCATCTTTTATTGTTAATGAAGATCAATAACAAATATGCAACATGACAAATATTTTTTTTTTAATCAACCATGCTGGGAAGGTGAGGTTTCAAACCTCCCACTTTTTGATCGATGATAAGATGTTTTAATTAACTAGTTAAAATATGTTTAACCAAAAATATGACTAGGACTCTGAGCTTCAGTTCGGCACGGATGAACTGGACAGCTAGCTTCGGAAACCGTGAAGAGGACCTGCAAAACAAAGTAGAAACTCCGATGCTAAAGTCAACAAGTGCTCAAGTCAATTCGAGAGAGAATTGATTGGATTGCATACCTTCAAATGAGGAAAATGATTCTATTTATAGGCAAAACCTTCAATAGCATTCCCGACACAGCCTCAACGGCCCTTTAAGGTTATCGTGAAACGTGGTGTACTGTTGTAGAGTCGGTCGGAGGCGTGGCCGAACTGAGGAAAGCCAATCAACTCGTACATTCTAGCTAGAACATAGATCAAAGAGAACTTGATCGGCTCGACCACTCAATGAGCTCGGCTCGACCAATGGTGCTGAGCCGAAGTCGCTATTCTTTGATTCTCATAAGCCACATGTCGCAGATCGCGTATCCACACAAGACTTGGCACGTGTATGCTTAAATCAACCCCTAACAGATGATAAGATGTCTTAATTAACTAGTTAAAATATGTTTAGATTGACATCTAATATATATGACTATGTGAACATATGATAATAACCTTTAGTGTTTGACAATATACTAGTTGAAAAAGATGAATTTGAACCAAGTTTTAAAGCATTATTTTGATTAATTAAGTAATTTTAGAATGAGGATTAATCTTGTTTTATAACCGATAACATGAGTTAAATTTCTATAACTCCTTTTCTAGTGCAACCACACATAGCTCACCCCGTTAGATTTATATCACTCATTATTAATAGTAGAGTCCATGTCTAAATTGAAACTAATATTAAAATATAGAACAAAAATTTAATTTAACAAAAAAACAATAATAAAATTATTGATTCTGATTTCAAGATAGGCACTGTATGGGTGTCTACCAAAATATTAGTAGGTAGAGATTTTTCACAAGAATTCCCAAGAGTTTGTGCAAGGGGTTCGAGTACCTAATTTCAAGGTTTAAGTGTAGCTTTTATATGGAAATAGAGAGAAACATATAGGTTGGGGTTCTAGGACCCACCGACATTCTAGTGCATTCTCTAGCGTAGCAGAGAGGTGCGGCGACGTCCAAGGCAATATCTTGATCCTCGTCAGAATTTGATGCAGGGTGTTAGCGTCTGTACACCACAATTGGATTGTCCCATCATTTGGTGCACTTGGCCATTGACCCAGTGGACCCGACTCCAGAGTTGTGGGTCGCAAACTAGTATTGTGAATCGCGTGTCCATGTTAGGGTTTAAAATATGGAAACTTGAATTTTTACCCTAACAAAAATAGTTATAATGGAATGAGCCATTGTCTCTAAAGAAGAAAGAACTTTAATTAAGATAACCAATTTTCACATGAAAAACACTTCATCAAGAAAATATTAGATTTCACAGGAAGAAAAAATTGAAAAAGTTAAAGGGGTGTCGTGTGGCTCATGTGTATATATATGTATTATTACTTTGTAGTAAAACTTGTTTCAACATGACTCGAATGAAATTACTTAATTTGGAGAGTCCCATGGAATTACTCCAACTTGAAGGTTTTCCCACAAATTTGGCTAGCTACTTAATATAATGTTCACAATGGGTTGAACAAAAATCCAGCTTCTATATAACTTTGCCTTTTTCCTATTCTTTGATTCCCATTAAATCTGGGAGGAAGCCGCTTAAGCTTTGTTTTTTTATGCTGTTTGGTTTGAAAATTTACAAGTCAAAAATAGGTTGCAAGACTAATAAATAAATAAATGTCCATTTCACAATATATAACCCTTTTTTTTTAATCTTTCCAAGATAATTTGGATCAAAATACTCAACACAATAACATATAGAGTCAAATCAGTTTTTTTACATTTTGCCAAGTATGGACAATATAACTTTGGTTAGAACTAATCACTTTCATTGGTTTGCTAACCTTAGCTTATCATGATATGACTTCTTTGGCTTTCAACGATTACCGCACTCTAAAATGTCAATCTTTATGTTACATGTTTTTACAATTTGGCCTTCACACGCCTAATTTAACAGTATTGATGTGGTAATTTTGACATGTTATTGGAGCGTTGACGATGCATTTTCAACATCTACATTCTAAAAAAAAAAAAGGGAAAACTTTATAAAACTAAATATAATGAGTCAAAATAGCAATTATGAAGCAATTGTCCGTACCTGGCCTAACTTTTGTAAAAGCCCCCGTTCCAAATAGCGAATTCGAGTCAAAGTTTGCGCACCGGGCGGCCCGCGGCACTCATTTAGACTCACCACTCCGATTCCTTTGATCTTCAATTTCCCTTTGCTTTTCCTCCAAAATTTTATCCCTTGTTTGCTTCTTAAATGTTTTGTAATTCAATTTACTTCGTTTTAATTATTACTTATTCACACGGTTAGCTTTGTGTTTAATAAGTCATTAAACTTAATTTTGTGAGTTTTTTTTTTATTATTTTTTTACAACAGATGAGAATGGGGATTGACTCATGATCTCTTAGTTATAAACAAGTGTCGATTACTCTTGAACTAAGTTCATGTTGGCTTAAATTTCGTATTTAATAAGTCTAACTTGAAAAAAAAAAWTTTTTTATTTCATGGGTAGCTAATTTATTAGACAATTTTTAAAATTTACATGGCTACTAGACATTGAATTGAAAGTTTATGGATTGATTAGACATTTTCTTTTAAGTTCGGAGACCTATTAAACACAATATTGAAAATTTAAGCACATATTAAAGTATATAACATAATGAGTATTTTAAATGGGTGAACATTTTCCATATTGGTAATTATAGGGATAGCCTTTTGGTTTTAAAAAATATGACAAAATTTAAAATTTATATTTTCATTTTCTTTGTTATTTTGATTTTAATCTCATTATTTCTAAAAATTGATATATCTAGTATGAAAGGTATAATACTGATATGTTTGATATAATGGATATAAGTTATATATCTGATGAATACTAAATATCATTGATATAATTGATATACTGAAAATGAAATATGTTACTAATATACTTAATATTATGTATGTCAATGTTTTTTCTCATTTCAAGAAACCACCTATTTTGTTAAAACAAATGTTCAATGACATATATCTCAAACCATGACGTTGTAAGTTGAATCCCCACCCTCATCCCACATGTTGTAAAAAGAAAAAGAAACCACCTATTTTAGGTGTATACGTGACATTTTTAGACTGGCCCTATATTTTCTTTTTTGATATATCTGTAAATGAAAAAAGTGGTTCCGATACTTATAATCAACTTTTTTTTTTTATATTTTTTTATATTTTCCTGTTATAAGCAACATCAAACTTCTTCGTTCTTGGAAACTTTGTCGCCCCAAATCTTGAAAGTTGAAAAAAGTCTGATTTAGAAATAAATATTTAAAAGTCTGATTTTCATTTTTCATATGAAAAGAATCAAATATTTATATACCCCACAAAATTTACCTTTCCCATTACTGTTATTTACATATATTATACCATACAAAATTTATATTCATATTAAGATAGTGACATTCAAATTTGGCTCTATCACTATACCCTACACAACGACGGTCATGGGGTCCAGAAAAAAAAAAGTAATTGGTTTTTAAAAAATCTTTAAAAATATTTCAAAATTCACAAGCCTCCAATTATATATTAGACATGGAATCTTAATCGATTTTTCACAAATTCACACTTTATTATTATTATTTTTATTTGATCTTTTCAATCACCTTGGCCCCCTCTTCCCAAAACAAAAAGCAGCAAAAATAACAAAAAAAAAAAAATATATATATATATATAGGAATATTTATGGTGGAGGGCGAGAAGGGAAATCGAGGCTTTTTGAGGAGAAAATGGGAAATAGTATTGGGGGAAGAAAAAGAGTAAAGGTAATGAAAGTGGACGGAGAGATTCTGAAATTGAAGATTCCGGTTCGAGTTTCGGAGGTTCTGAGAGATTATCCCGATCACGTTCTTATGGAATCGGAGGCGGTGAAGCATTTCGGCGTCAAGGCGAAGCCATTGGAGCCGCACCACGATTTGAAGCGGCGCAAGATTTATTTTCTTCTCCAGTTGCCGAAGATCGCCGCCGATCCGCCGCCGGAGAGGATTCCGAGGAGAGTTCGTTCCTCCGGCGTCCACATGTCCGCCAAGGAACGCCTCGATCTTCTCATGCTCTCGCGCCGGACGATGTCCGAAATCGCCATCGCTAGACCGGATTCCTCCGCCGCCGCCGACCCACGGTTCAATAGCGGCCCGATGCAGGTCAAGATGAAGATTCCGAGGTCGCAGGTCGCCAAATTCATGGAGGAGAGTCGGAATGAGGGAGAAGTCGCGGAGAAAATAATTAATATGTATTTGAACGGCGAGGTCAACAGCGGCGGCGCCGGTGGTGCCGACGCCGCCCGCCCGCCGGAGGACTGGAAGCCGAGCCTCGTTAGCGCTAGGGATCATTCCAAGGTTCATCGGGAGGTATGTTTCGTTAATCAATTTTACTTCCATTTTCTTTTTTGTTAACATTTTTTTTAGTTTGGAGTTATTTTTACTAGAAGTTTTGGTTCAATTTTAGAAACTAAATTTGTAATTAAATAAAATCTTTAGAGAATAATTATACCTAACTAAAATTGTGCAGTTTCAGAGTCTTAATTAACTACCGAAATTTTATTAAAACTGAGAAGAATTAAAAATGATTGATTGATTTTGAAGGCAACAAATTTCAATTAATATCTTTAATTTTCAGCTTCTCTAATTGATGTTACCCAATGGGTAAACGACGGTGCTTACCTTTTAAGTTATTTAAAATTGTAAATTGAATGTTTCTTTTAGAATATATTTTTTTTGGTCAGAGTAATTTTGTAAACTTTTGTACATTGATGACATTTGGATTATTGAGCAATAATTTATTTGTTTTTCAACTTCATGTTTTACAAATTTTTTAAAAACCCAAAGAATTTTGACTGAGATCTGGAACGAATTTATATATATAAAAAAAGTATGTGTTAATAAATTGCCTTATTCTTAAAAGAAAAGAGTAAAACGATTCTCATATAGGCTTCGGATATTTATAAAGTTATTCAAATTTTGCCAAAAAAAAAAATGGAGATTTTTTTAAGAACAAAAGGGAGAAGAAAAGGGTTCCTTTTATCGCTTAGATCTCATTTTTGTTTTAGAAAAAAAAAAATCTTATTTAACCCTCAAATCTTCCTACGTATTTAGTTTGATTTCTAAATTGTAACTTAACTTTTAAATATTTTGTTTGTAGAAAAAAAAATTACTTAGTCATTATTGTTACTTTTCATTAACTATTTAACAAAAACTCGAATTTATTTCTAAACCTAATACTTAGCCAACTAGAAATATCCTTTAATTACTAAGAAAATATATATGCATTTGAGAATTTTTAAAACTAAAAGAGAACGAACCTTTAAACAAAATTATCAACCTAAACCTAAATATAATTCAAGATATATATCAAAATTTCGAATCTCCAACTAAAAAAATTTGAAATAAAATCTCAAATTTCGATTGAATCTCCCACATGACTTGACCATAATTGAAATAAGATTTGAAGCATGATTAAAGATTGTGAACTTATGGAATGCGATCAAGAAATGAGAGAACATAATCGACGATTACGTCAGTTAATAGGATAAGCAATTACAAAACTGGACCTTCCTGGACAAGTTTGCCCTTTTGGACTTATCCATAAGACCATAACGACGGACGACTAAAATGAAGAGTCCGGATTTTACGACTCTTCATAATTTTCAAATTATTAATAAAAAAAAAATAAAAGAATACTATTTTAATTATCTTTTAGTTTTTTATTTTTTTATTTTAGTTCCGTCAAAATACTAGCTTAACCAAAATTAGAACATTTTCAAAAGAAGGACTATTTTAATCTCTATTTATAAAATTTGAACAATACATGATAGAATTCCTTATAACCATTGTTGTAACATTTTGAAAAAATATATTAAGGGTAGATAGAGGAGGCAGTGATAGAACCGGGAAGCATCTGACGGTAAAGTAATTAGTAGGTGGAGGACCCAAAATTGACTTTTCCATTTCCCAAACAAGAAATTTCTTAATTAAATGATTATTAGGTCCAACTGAGTCAGATTAGGTATTTGTCCCATTATGCCAACGAATCCATTAATCTAATTTTATATTTTTCAAAAAATTTCAACTTACAATAAAGAATTTAAATACATTAAAATTTAATGATGAAGAGTTGAAATCCATTGTAAAGTATCTTTATGTAGCTTTTTCGACCCAGTAAAAGGGTGCATGAACTGACTTTAGACTAAAGACATATGCTTTATTTTATTAGACAATATGATAAAATTGGCATCTTTTTCATAGTGAAGGCAAATTTTTATCCATAAATCAATCCTTTAAACTTTTTGATATTATCTTTATGGTTTGATTGGTTGACATTATAATCTCTAGATATAATTGAGGATGATAGTTTTTTAGTTGGTTGTTAGAAAATAAATGTTGCCAAATAGACTACCCATCTGTCTAATTAATGTAGATTAAAATAGCTTTTGAACCTTTAAATCAAATTTGAAGGGGAAAAAAAATGAAAGTTGGTAGCTGAAATTTTCTTTTTGCAGAATTCAAACTAAATCAACTTTATCCTTTTTTTTTTCTAAGAACAATTGAATTAGCAGCAAAAGGCCCACTGATTGAAATGGTTGAGATTGGTAGGTTATCAACCACGTCGGCAAGAAAAATGGAAAATTTTTTCTCTGACCAAAATTTCAATTAAAATAAATTAAACTTTATATTTTTTGAAAACCTCAGGTTCTTCTTCTTCTTTTTTTTTTTTTTTGGTTCCTTTTTTCAATTTTTGTTGACCACTTGAGGAGCCGCCGTTATTTGTGGCTTCCTTCCAAAAACAAAAAAAATTAAAACAAAAAACCAATATAGAAATTGAATTGACTTTCAACCCACATCTTTTTAACTTTTTACTGTCAGTAAAACAAACTTGGAAGCTGAAAATCTAACTGCCTTTTATGAATGAAATGAATTGTACAGAAGCGAGTGAGTTTTTTACCAAGGGATGAAGGAGAAATTCGTCTAGCAGCCAATCACTAGCACAGTAAAACAGTAAAAATTTTGGATTATAAGAAAGAAGAAGAAGAAGAAGAAGCAGCAGGTTTCTGAGAGCTTCCATCACTTCAATTTTATGTTTCCTAGTTTGGCTATATTCTTCCATATATCATGAGGAAGTTCTTAGATCTTATACAAAAAGAATGCAAATTAATGGTTCAGTTTTAGTTCAACAATATGTGGTGGAGATTTCGAACACTTGACCTTTAGGACAGATGTAACATATCTTAACTGCTATCTTCAGGTTGGCAAAAACAAAAATGTTATAGTTTAGATTTTGTACATAAATGAATTTTATATGCTTCAAGAATGAAGGATGTGATGTTTTATTTGTGGGAATGAGCTGAGATTTCCAAAGTTTTATTTGAAATGATTTTAATGGCGTATAAGCAGAAATAAATTGATTAATATTAGTACATATAAATGCAGCTTGAACTGATGCCAGATTTGAACAACAAGATTATCTCCATAACTTGAGATATTTTGAGTATATCTAAAAATTCTAAGATTTGAGAAGTGCAAAAACTTGTAAAGTTTGAATGGATTTCATTAAATCTAACCAAATAATTGAATGCCAAAAATTTGAACGCGTATATTGCAATTCAAAAGTGAAAAACCAAAGGACAAGAAAGGCTGCTGCGTATATGTTTGGGCCTGAGATTAATCCACATCTTCTCTTCTCAAAAATTGTGCTGTGGTAACAATATATGACATTAGTTTTCTATTTCTTGTTTTAAATATAAGAATTTCATGATTATTTATATATTTTTGTTAACATTTGTTAAGAAACGTTTTTTAAATTGAATGGAAATTTTATAAATAACAAATTTCTTTTTTGATTTCTAATTTCAATTTGTTCTAAAATATAAATAAAAATATTGTTTTATCCTTCTTGAATCTCGTTGTGGGCATGCAATTATATAATAAAGAAAAAAGAAACGTCACCAAACAGACCCTTAGAATAGTATGAGCTTCATTGAATTTGTTATTTCTCTCTCTTGTTCTTTTATTTGTAATTTTTTTAAAAAATATAAACGTTTAATAACGGTTCATGTTTTTAGTTTCTCAAATCTAAGAAAGGTTCTAATGTTGTGTAAAAAAAATTAAAAAAAAACTAAAAACAAGAAACTATTACAGAACGCAATTATGTTTTTCTTGAAAAAGAGAAAACAATAAACAAAAAATAAAAATATTATCAAATGGACCCTATATTGCATCAATAAAAAAAATATATATWTTTTTTTTTGTGAGTTTCGATTTGTTCAATTAAACTAATAACAACTGGTGTTTGTATAAAAAGATATATGCAAAAATTTAATTTAGATAATGTACGTAAAAAAAAATATGGGGCCTACAAATTAGGTGACTATACTATACAATATACATATTGCTTCCTTCCAACCTTATATAATTTATAAAAGCATGCACAAATTAAAGCACATTGAACTTGATTGTTATTTTTTGCCCATTAGAATTGGATTGTTAATTGACATTTTAAAAGTTGATAGATTGTATTATTATGTGTTTTGCCTCGACAGAACACAAGGGTGTGGGGCTGTTCTTTTATTTCCTTTGCTTGGGAGTTTCTAATAATTCATCTTCCAATCTTGACTTGTGGGGTGTTAGGATGTTAATTAGTCAGTTATATGTCATTATCTTTACTTCTTTATTAGTGATTATATATTTATTAAACAAGTGCTCATAGTTTATTTTGGAAGAATAAAATTATTCCATTTTTGTATTACTTGTTTTCTCAATGAATTATTATAAAAGATATTATCTCGAGTAAAACTTGATTAAGACATATGTTATCTAACCAAAGGTTAGATTTTGAATTATATTTCTTGCCTATGTTACTGGAAAAAAGTAAAGATGATTACAAATCTAAGATAATTAAAATAAAATATTACAAAAATAGAGTAGAGAACAAAAAAAAAATGTAATAAAATAAATCAAATTAATTTGCAATTATTATGGTTATAATAAATTAATATTTAAGTTAATTAGTGATTGTTAGAGTTATATTATAATCCATCAATGTCCTATTACATAAATCAATAATTATGTTAAAGCTAGCTAGGTGGTAATTCACATATACCTCCAACCATAAAGTTGTGAATTCGATCTCCTATCCCACATATTGTACTTTCCCACATATTGTATTTTGAAAATTGAAAATATATTTAAAAGATCTCGTAGTATTAGTGATACCCATTTAGTTCCTATATTAGTTTTTAATAAATTTCATAAACTTTTGAAGTTGTACTTTAAATACTTTTAACAGGTCCAAAAAATTATAATTTTACATCTAACAGATCTTTGTGGAGCTAACTTTGTTGTTTAATGTTTTTGCAACACGAAGACATATTGTTTAAAGATGTTGCGACTAACTAATCTTGGGTAAGTTTATATATTTACTGATGATGTAATTGTTAAACTAACATAGGCTTATGAAATAACACTTTTTTTTAGAGTAATGGACCAGAAATAAATACAACCTTCAAAGTTTATGGACCTATTTGATACATTTTTTAAAATACATGACCAAATAAACACAACCTAAAAAGTTAAAAGAATAATCTAAATAAGTGTTAAAAGAGGTGGAAAGTAGGATTCAATTGCTTTAATTTTGATGGAGTTGCTTGAAATTTGTGTGGCCCTTTAAGCTGCGTATGGGATAAGTAAACTCCCATCACGTGGATCACTCTATAAAGGCCAATTGATTGCCTCTTCTTTAATCTTCAAACCTTTTTTTTTTCTTTCACTAGAATGGCACAAACAAATTAAAGTTCTTGTAAATCCCACCTTCACACAAAACAAACCCTACTAGTTTATAATCAAGAAATTTTCATTGATCCTGAGCTTTGAACTTTGTTGTTGGGAAGGTTTTGAATCTGGGTTGTTGAGAAATTTGAAGCTTCTCGGATATTAAAGGTGTGATGAACACGAATATATGCGGAAAAAAACCTTTTGAAAAGGGAAGAAAAAACTATAGAGATTCAATTCAAGTTTAGCTCGAATTCGACCATGTCTGGTTTGTTGTGGTTTGTTTTAACAAGTCTATGAAAAGTTCTAATTAATTTTGAACTATAGAAATCCCACCGCCTCATCTTTGAAGTTAGTTCTCAAATGATTCTTCCCTCTTTTCTCTATGGTCTACCACACTTACACCAACGATAAATTGATATTTTCATAAAAATTTATATATATTCAAGGATTCCACACATGGACATTAGGAATAAATTCATGCTTCCTAATATCGTAAAAATATTGATGAAATATAGAAGTATATCAAAAACAATCGTTAATGTGAACAAAATATTAACAACAAAAAAGGCTTAAAATTCTTATTTATAAATTTGAATACATTTTTATAAAATTGATTTAATTTCTATGATTTTTTAAAAACATTCCTTTAAAATATTTGAAAATTTAGAGATTAAAATATGATAAATATAAAAATTGTAGATTTATTTAAATATAATATTTGAACATTTATGAAGTAAAACAAAGTGAATAAGCATGTTCTCGTTGGAAATAGTTTTAGAATCCCAAAAAAAGAAAAAATGTCATGATTTGGGTTTAAAAGAAGAGTTCATAAGTTGCTATGACTAACACGTGTTTTTAGTTTTAATTAACTTTTACTTTCTTATTTTTAATTTTTTTAAAACTACATCTTAATCACACCTGTCATCTTTATTTATTAGAATATTATTGTGGGTTTTTTTTTGTTATATATTTTGGTTAATTAACTTCAAATTTATTCTTTGTTCTCTGTTTTCTTTTTCTCTCTAAATGAATATTCTTACTCATCCCCTTTTTTTTTGGTTTGAGAATCAGCTTTTCTGTTCAACTAACAAAAATAGAATTATATCAAAACTTTGGGATACTTTATAGATTTTACTATCTAGTTGTGGAGATCAAAGAATTCGATTTGATAACGAGATATGAATAGTGATTTCGCTCTGCAAAACATAGACCACTAATGGTCACCAAATATTTTAGTGTGCAGATTGACCGAATAACAATTCCCCCCTCTGAACACCTATAAATACCATAGCACGCTCCTTACGCAGGTACGTAAAATCGATTGCTTGTTCTTTGACACTATAGTTCAAATCGGAACAGACTAGATCAATGAAGTACTCTGCTCTGTTTTGTAAATCCTTTTTATTTCTCCACAATTTTCGAAGACAATAAGATTTTAGCTGAAAACATCGAGTACTTGATGAAAACTAATAGGCATTTGCTTAATCAAATCCCGATCTTGGGCACACAAGACTATAACAAGTCATCCAATAATTCCAAACACTATTATGTTTGGGTTTGTAAAATCTACCATTATAGCTTCCGGATCCAACAAAAGAGAATATATTGGTTGAAAGGTAGATTCTCGTGGGATCCATTTATATATCCCTACGTTTTAACTATTCAAATTTAAATAATATAAAAGTTTGGTCAAAAAGAACCTAAATTAGGTACTAAATTAATTGAAAGCTTTTCCCAATCATACTATTTTTATTTTATGTTATTTTAAAATTTTAGCCGAATTCCATTGGATTCAAAGAGTGGGAATTTGTTATACTTTAATTTAATTTCTCAAACAATTCTCTCTCTCTTTTTTTTTGAAATAAATTGCTATAATAACTCATGGATGTTTTGTTTG